ATATTAGGTTTTGAATGTAACAAAAGAAAAGTAAAAGTTCTGATACTTGAGTACAGTAAATAGTAAATTTACTTTGTTGCTATACATCTCTGGATGTCAAAACCTTTTAGTTAATATTTTTTCTTAGCTTGTTTTCTATAAAAGACTAGTTACTTGGAAATCAAAAGTTATGAAACTTGAAGCAGAGGAGTGCATTTCCTGCATTAAAGATTTGAGCCCAAAATCTTTTTTTTTCAAGAATCTTCCTGACAGGAATGCATGCTGTTTATGTAGTATTTGCATTATATGCAGACACAGTACGTATGTTTTACTACACCAAAGTAAATGGTAAAACTCGTCAGTTAGGGTAATTTACCAGGAGAGCAACCCCTGCAACCAGTGCTGCAGATTCAATAAGTCGTTACGGGCCTCCTTACTTCATCATAGTTTTTGTTCTGTTTTTTGTTCTCAATTCTGGTTTTATTTTCAGATTGTTGTCGGGGGTGGGGGGGGGGTTAATTTATGTTTTCCCTCAGAATCCATTGTCTTCTTTTCTTTTCTTTTTCTTTTTTTTTCTTAGATGCTGTTTTACCTTGGCTCACTTTAATGAGCTCCTTTATTTTTTAAACTTTCAATAAAGAAGCTGAGCATCTTTTAATTAGTAACATGTAAAGGTTATGAATTTAATCTTGTTGCAAAGATTTAATGACAACATTCCACATAAGGCACATTTTTAGACGTGGGCAAAGATATGCATTCACACATTTAACACAACAGTTATTTTAATACAATATATACATATTCTGAGCTCCTTCAGAGGGCACTTGGTTATTCCTGGCAATGCAGACTTCAGTGTGACTAGGATATAGTCAAATGCATGCAGGAATTCAGCCTTTGATGTTCCAAAACCCCCTATCATCCTCAAACTAAAGAATACCTTTAAGAAGAAAGAGAGTGGAGAATTAGTTGGCATGGTCTGAGGAGAACTAGAATTATTTAATGATTAGGGATTTAATTCAAAGTCTTTTTTTGGAATACCTGATTTATCTTTGGATGCCAGGATAATTTCAGGCCTAGTCTTGCAGAGACAGGCAGGTATTCTTTTCTTTCTGACCCCTCATCAGCCTCTGAAAAGCACCTGTTTTGTCCAAAGTATAAAGCACTTATTTATAAGGTTCCTCTACCACAGACAGATATTTCTTTCCTGTCACACCTCCTGTTTTTTTTTTTCATAATAAGCATAAGCTAACTGAATATGAAATGTATTTATTTAGACAATGTTTTGTGTTTCCAATAAAAAGGCACTACAATTGCATAATTCAAGTCCATGAAAACAAACCTGCTTCAATTCATTGAAGTTCAGTTATTTACTTTATTTTTTGAAGGGATGATTCTTTTGAAAGTTTAGGAACAATTAACTTCATACCAATTGTAAATAGGCATTTAAGCAACTGCAGCTTGAAGAAATTGTTTAATTGTGACCAGACGGTTAGCTAATGGCTAGAGAGTGGCCAAGACCAAATTTGATTGCCATCACAAACAACTCCAAACTCCAAAATTTAAACAAATTTAGGGAAGCACTCTCTCAATCCCAGTACAAGTCTCATTTTTCCAACAGGATTAAAAAAATAGATGATATGTGTTTAGTCCAATAAAGTAGTGAATGCCTCTAATTGTGGTCCATTATGCTGACACAATCATAAAAGTCTACAGATAATGGAAGAGTGGCTGAACAGATCTCAGGGGAGGATAAGTCTATATGGACAGCGTCCTAAAACTGAAGGAATGATTTTCAGAAAAAAAAATAGACTAAACAAAGGAGCTCTTTATGTACTTCAAGAAACAAAGAACCCAACTTCACTTTTATGTCCACTCATCAAGACTGAAAGGGTTCAAAGCTATAAATTCTTAGGAGTCTGCATCTTTGACAACCTCTCCTGGTCTGCCAACGCCGTTGGCATTGTCAAAAAAAAAAAAAAAAAAGGCCCAGCAGACTTAAGTTCCCCAAAAGATAGTCAAGAAAAACAAAGTGACTGAAAAATGCTGCTGGTGGCCCTTTGCTCCACCAGAGAAAGCGTCCTGGCATGCAGGATCACAGTGTGGTATGCTGGCTGCATAGAAAAGCTCTCCAGAGAGTGATCAAACAGCACAGAAAGTTGGCTGCTTGCTACCCTCCCTGGAAGACATCACTAATGCCTGCTGCCTCTCCAGAACTCAGAACAACCCAAATGAYTGTTCACACTTAGAACATCTGTTTAAACTGTTGCCACCAGTTAGATATCACAGATTATTCAAAGCACAAAACACCAGATTAATAAACACATTTGGATAATCTCACCAAAACCTCATTTAAAATTTCACAGTAGACTAAAGTGGACATCAACCAAGACTAAATTAATTTTATTGTTTCCATAACAACTGGACCTTAATTGATTATTTCCATAGTTACAATTTATTAAAGGCATTTGTTTAGAGACATTGTGTTTATTGAATTGATAACCAGTTATCTATACAATGAAGATACAGAATACTTTTTTCTGTTTAATACAAAATATGCCTGTTAAGTAATTGCATACAATATGTTCTAATTTTATTTCCATAATAATGAAAACAAATAATGGGTTTAACATAATAGCTCTCTCAAATATTCCCATACTCACCATGAGGTGAGGGCAAATGCCATTCATCCTCATCATGAGGATGAATGACATTTGCCCTCATAGTGTTTTCTAACCATGCACATTTGCACAAACACACAATATGATTWAAAAAATACTTGTTTACAACTAAGATTAGAAACATAAAATCCAGTGTTCGCACCCTCTTTCTAACTCAAAAAATTAAATATTTTAGTTTACAAACCAGCGTATGATTAAAAAAATAAGACAGGTTGTAATCTGAGACAACCTTTATTCATAAAATGCACAAAAGCAAGGATGACTACTGACTTTTTTGTTGTTTGTTTTCTCGTTAATTATTTTATGAATGAATATTTCAAAACTAAAAAATAAATAAAAAAAACCTAAGTTTTCTGTTTTGAGTCAACTGTAAAAGGTTTTTTTTACCTGCTTGTGCTTAATGACTCATTTACCGGTAAGTGAAKTCAGGATGTAACATAGTCAAAAAGTTGCTATTAATTAGTTTTGTGTGCAGCGTCTGCAAGAATATTTTGTTATGATTTTATGTGTCTATAGATTTAATTAGTGTGTTGRTCTTAGACATATTGGTATAAGCTGGAGTTATGCAAATGTGCCCATACAAGAGCAAGATAAGGTAAACAATACACTTGCAACATTTGAGTATAATAAAGTAGTTAATGTGAGCAGGCACAGAGTGGCTTTATTTTTTTTTTTTTTTGTCATCTGCCTGACTACAGACTATTTGTTTCACACTCAGCTTTGCATCACACTTCATTTATGTGTTCCATTTTATGAATTGTTTTTCTTTGGGCAGTTTAAAGGTAATATTTAAAAAAAAAGCATCCATCCATCCACCCATCCCCACCTTCCCAGCATCCCTCATTTAAGCTTTTTTCTTTTTCTTTTTTTTTAAACAGTTTAAAATACTTTTTTTCTTAAGATTTTAATCTCTTACATAAAAGTTTCTGGTTCTGTTGTGCCTAAATGGAACACATAATCCTACCACCTAGGGCACTCTACAATGCACCACCCATGTTGATCTTCACCAGGATCTTTAGGGCCTTTGCCAACATTTACAAGAGTCGATATGTCAGAGCAAAAGATTCCTTGCCTCTGCTTCAAAAATGTTTCACAGAAAAAAACAAACAAACATAAAAAAACAAACATTTGTCTTATGTTTGTCGATACGTCACAATTACCATAAATAGACTCAGGTTTTATGTGACTTGCATGCTGAGCAATATGAAATGACTGAAACAAACGTTTATCATCTTGAAACACAAAAAATACATTTCTGCAACTTATCGACATTTAGTTGATATATCAGTTCAATCAAAAATAATACAGATTTTTTTGTTTGTTCTTGTTTCTAAACAATAATTGCCATATAATATAAAACAAAACACATACAAAAAATAAAAATAAACCCACTGTGCTGCAACACATAATGACTTTATTATTAATAGTGCTTGTATTTTTATTATATTTTAGGGATTATTAATAAAGTCTGAGACTTGTTGATCCTCTTCTTTTATTTATTTTTTTCTTTCTTCACATTGTTTTACTGACAGTCAAAGTAACCAAATGAGATTAGCTCATCCAAAATAAAGCTGTCAGCCTAATAAAAAAATAAAAAATGTAAAAAAAAATACAATTGCAACATTTGTTTCTCAAACATCTTTACTTGCATTCACTAGAAATTAAGATAGTYAGGAAAAAAAATCAAATAATGACTGTAGTCTTGCTACATTGTACAAATTTTATTTTATTCAAGTCTTATTTACTTTCTCAACCACTTAAGTGTCAATCTTTCCTCCTTCCCTTCTTTCAACAAAAAAGGGTTGTGCCCTTGTYTTTTTAGCCCTAAATCCTCTGGAAATACCTCACACTCACTGTATTAAAGTCCACGTTTATGAGCAAGTCAATCCACTGTTGTTCATCTTACCCTTTGCCTCACTACTCTGTCTTGTAAATAATTCTTATTTTACATTATAACTTACATTATTAAATATCACACAGGTGGATATTACTTACTACATAGGGACTGCTTTTGTGGCTGTCATATTTGAACATGCATGTTTAAACTTGTAACAGTGTTCTTTATTTTCATTACTTTAGCTCAGTGAGCATTGGATTCTGTGTTTAATCAGCTTTTGTTGTGTTTGTTTCTGAAGGAGACTGAGGAGAAGTTTCCAAAACTGGACCAGATCTGGGATGATCTGGGCAGTGGGGAAGAGGACGGCAGCACGACAGATTGTGATGATGAAGACGGATGTCAGAGCTCAGGAGATGGTTCCAAAGGGAAAGGTATGTGACACTTTCCAACTTGAAAAGATACTGAAAGTTACACCCACAACTGTCCAGGRGTCRGATTTRTAAAACTGGCGTACGCACAATTTGAGCCCAGAAACTTGCGTACGCCACTTTTTACGCCAAGGTTGTGATTTCYAAAATCCAAACTTGACRTGAAAATGTGCGGTGCCTTACGYCAGCTCTGACCCATGCRTAYGCTMATTTTGGAGACRGGAAACTGCGACACAGATGGTGAAGTGARGAATTATAGCCACACTGTGTAATGATMACTGTCAGATATTTAATTTACCTTCATWATCAGACTTAGATTTTTATTCAACTTTATCATCAGCTTTCTAAACAGTAATATTTATGCTTCTGCGTGTGTGTGTGTGTGTGTGTGTGTGTGTGTGTGTG